TACGGTGGATGATGCAGCATCATGAGCAATGATGCAGCTGGTATTACAGGCGGGGCATCCAGGAACTGCGGAGACCAGAGATCTACACTGTTTTAGTATAAACATCCTCAGAAGAGCCAGGTCATTGTGAGAAATATCAGCCTTGTAATCTGAGACTTATGAAGTCAGCCAGGAAGGGCCAGTTGGTCACGAAGAGCACGAAGAGATGGGTTGTAGGCATCCTGAAAGATGGTATCTATGTGCTATGGAGAATCCTCATGTGCACTGACCTAATGACAAATGACTGTGTAAGTATTTCAGTCAGTTTAGTGTGGATCAGGGGTATTTTGCAATGCGTTAGAAAGTCAAAGTGCTTTTGTTGACAAGGGCTCTTCAAAATGTATTTGCTCAGGGCTTACACATTCCAGGGGGATTGTTGTCTTGAGCAGTGTTTGAGAAATGACAGGTCCTTCCCCTTACCACTGTGGGCAACACTTTTTCCTGGTCTTAAGAAAATGGTCATTGACCTCCACTGTGAATCAGGGCTCAGTATTCTGTGCTCCTTGGCTGACAGGTCCCATTTACCAGGTAGACATGGGATATACAAAGATGCTGCATGGCTAGAAGGTCTGGACCAGTGGAGGAAATGGGGTATACAAATGATGCTGCATGGCTAGAAGGTCTGGACCAGTGGAGGAAGAGCTACAGGCTGAGAGGAAGAGGGCACTGGTGAGGAAGGACATGCTGGTTGTCTGATTCATACGACGTGGTGTGTCCTAGGGCTCCTCTGGCACCTCACCTTTGTCCCCTAAGTTGGTGACTGCATCTAGTTGATTCTGCCTTGTGTGAAGCTTACATTAGGAAGCTACACATGCATGCTCACACACATGATAAGTACATCAGGTGAAAAGGTAGTATGTAATTGGCTGAAACGATTTTGGAAACTGCAAAGCCTCACCATCTGTATGCAAGCTGGGGCCCCAGGAGAACTGGGATGTCCTTCAGTCCAAGTTCAAAGGCCTGAGAAGCAGGAACTAAGGCAAGACCTGCCCTAGCTCAAGAAGGGAGCGTTTGATCTCCTTCTGCCTTCTGTTTTGTTAGGGATTGGACGATACCTGCCCACACTGTGGCTGTGGGTCTTCTCTTCTCAATTACTCACTCAAGGCCTGGTCTCTTCTGGAAGCCTGCATGGCAGCTCATGGTCTGTAACTGGAGTTCCAGGGGATCCGATGTCCTCTTCTGGCGCTAGGGGTGGTGCACAGAGACACAGGTAAAACATCCATACATGTAAAATAAATTAAAATCAAAGAAATGGAAGGAACCAACGGCTCCAAACAGCGAATGGCAACCAACGGCTCCAAACAAAGCACTTTCCTTTCTGCTTGCTGGGGGAATCTGCTTTTTCATTCACAGAGCTGATTGCTTGATAGTGTGTGTGTGTGTGTGTGTGTGTGTGTGTGTGTGTGTGTGTGTGTGTGTGTTGGGGAAAGGGTGCTTGTTTGTAAGCTTTGTGGCAGGCTGAGGCCTGGGAGCTTCATGAGAAGTATGGATTTCACAGTCTGTAGGGCTTCCTTCCTAGGCTTCTGTGGGTGGTATGTTTTGTTTTTAAAAACGTCAGTGTTAAGGATGGAACCCAGGGCTTTGCACATGCTAGGTGAGAATTCTTTCTTTGAGCTGCATTACACCCTCTAATTTTTTATGGAATTAAAAAAATTATTTTTGCTTTATCTATGTGAGTATTTTGCCTGTATATATATATACACCATATGCATGCTGGTACCCACAGAGGCCAGAAGAGGAAGCTGGATCTCTTGGAACTGGAGTACAGACAGTTGTTAGCCACTGTGTGGGTGCTGGGAACCAAAACTGGGTCCTCTGGAAGAGCAGCCGGTGCAGGGCCTGGAGAGATGGTCCAGTGGTTAGGGGCACTTCCTGCTTCTGCAGAGGACTGGGGTTCAGGTGCCGGAACTCACATGGTAGCTCACAACCATCCAGACTCCAGTTCCTGGGATCTGGCACTGTCTTCTGACCTCTTCAGGCAGCAGGCACATATATGCACGCAAGCAAAACACACACACAACACATAAAATGAAAGAATAATTTAAAAAGAGCAGCCAGTGCTCTTAACTGCTGAGCCCTCTTCCAGCCCTCTTGTGGATTTTGTTGTTGATTTTGGTCTCACCATGGAGTCTTGGCTGGCTGGGACTGCTCTGTGGAAACCAGGCTGGCCTCGAACTCACAGAGGTCCACCTGCCTCTGCTTCTTGAGTGCTGGAATTAAGTACACATGCCACCATGTTTAGCCTCTATGGATTTTTAGTCTTTATATTTTGACAGCACTGGACATGAGCCCAGGACCCAGTTTGTGCCAGGAAAGAAAGCACTCTACCACTGAGCTATACCCCCAGGGTGTGTGTGTGTGTGTGTGTGTGTGTGTGGTGTGTAAGTGATGTGTGTGTGGTGTGTATGTGGTGTATGTGGGGTGTGTGTGGGGTGTGTATGTGGGGTGTGTGTGGGGTGCGTATGTGATGTGTGTAGGGTGTGTGTGGGGTGTGTATGGGGTGTGTATGTGATGTGTATGTGGGGTGTGTATATGGTGTGTGTGTGTGGTGTGTATGTGGGGCATGTGTGGGGTTTGTATGTGGTGTGTATGTGAGGTGTGTGTATGTGGTGTGTATGGTGTGTGTGTGTGGTGTGTATATGATGTGTGTGTGATGTGTATGAGATATGTATGTGTGGTGTGTGTGTGGTGTGTATTTGTGGTGTGCATGTGGTGTGTATATGATGTGTGTGTGTGGAGTGTGTATGTGATGTATATGTGGGTTGTGTATATGGTGTGTGTGTGGTGTGTATGTGTGGTGTGTGTGGGTTGTGAATGTGATGTGTGTGTGGGGGGGGTGTGTATGTGATGTGTATGTGGGGTGTGTATGGGGTGTGAATGTGATGTGTGTATGTGATGTATATGTGGGGTGTGTGTGTGGTATGTGGTGTGTATGTGGTGTGTGTGTGATGTGTATATGATTTGTATGTGGGGTATATATGTGGTGTGTGTGGTGTGTATGTGGTGTGTGTGTGGGGTGTATATGTAGTGTGTATGTGGGGTGTGTGTGTGGTGTGTGTACCATGGTGCGCACGTACAGGTCAGAGGACACCTTTGCGGAGTTTTCTCCTTCCATCTTTATGTGAGGTGGTTCAGACTTGTATGGCAAGTGACATGACCTTTTGATCTTCTATCTGATTCCTCCCTCCTCCCCCTCCCTCCTTCTCCCTCCCTCCTCCCCTCCCTCTTCCCCCTCCCTCCTCCCTCCCTCCTCCCCCTCTCTCCTTCTCCCTCCCTCCTCCCCCCTCCCTCTCCCCTCCCCTCCTCCCCCTCCCTCCTCCCCCTCCCTCCTTCTCCCTCCCCCCTTCTCCCTCCCTCCTCCCCTCCCTCCTCCCCCTCCCCCCTTCTCCCTCCCTCCTCCCTCCCTCCTCCCCCTCCCTCCTCCCTCCCTCCTTCTCCCTCCCTCCTTCTCCCTCCCTCCTCCCCCTCCCTCCTCCCCTCCCTCCTCCCCCTCCCTCCTTCTCCCTCCCTCCTTCTCCCCCTCCCTCCTCCCTCTCCCTCCTTCTCCCTCCCTCCTCCCCCTCCCTCCCTCCTCCCCCTCCCTCCTCCCCTCCTCCCTCCCTCCTTCTTCTCCCTCCTCCCCTCCCTCCTCTCCCTCCTCCCTCCTCCCTCCTTCTCCCTTTCTTATCCTCTCTCCCCTCTCATCTCCTCTCCTCCTTTTCTTCTTTTGAGACGGTCTCCGGACGGCCTCAGACTGTCTATGTGGATGAGGCTGGCTGTGAACTCCTAACCTTCCTGCTTCCCCTCCTGGATTACAGACACTCTCTGTATATCCAGCACCAGATGAGGTTTCAATTTTCAAAAACAAAGTAAAGGGGCTTTAGGAAGGAGTGGAGATGGATGTCTGCGACAAATCCGCCATCATCCATACTAAGGCAGTCTTCTTACCCCGCAGGCCTGAACCAGGGCTGCTGTTTAAGCCCTCCCCCTGTTCACTCTGACTGCAGCTGCTGCTCAGCACTTAGGTGCCCTCCCACATCAGGGCTCACTCTCTTCACAGACTGTGCTGTGCTTGATTTGACTAATTCCCCTTTTCTTTTCTCCCTTCCTTCCTTCCTTCCTTCCTTCCTTCCTTCCTTCCTTCCTTTCTTTCTTTCTTTGAGACAGGATCTCACTAAGTAGCCCTGACTTGCTGGAACTTGCCATGTAGATCAGGATGGCCTTGAACTCACAGGGCTCCACCTGCTTCTTCCTCCTGAGTGCTGAGATTAGAGGTGTGTACCATCATAACTGGTCTGATTTGATCAGTTTTAATGAGACCTGAAATTGAATTTAGAGATTTCTGGACATGGAGAGACAGGAAGGAACAAAAGTTGATTTTGCCCTGTTAAATGCCAGTTCTGAAGCAATGCTTGGCTGGAACCTGTGCCAGTTTCAGCCCACCTTTGCCCCGTGGGCACCAGGATCCCCGAGAGCCGGGGAGCTTAGAGCTCAGTGACAGTACAGACTTTGTGTTACACATGCACTCTGCAGCCTGGCGCTGCTGCTGGAGTTTCTAATTTATACTGCCATAGGAGGCAGACGGTCTTCAGAGTTCTTTCTGGGGCATAAACTGCAGCTGGTGATGAAATTCGCTCACTACTAAATCATAGTGGACCACACAAATGGCTGCCTGGTTTGTCCTGTTAGAACTAAACCAGACCAGACGGGCTTTCCTCTTAGGTATTAGAGACATTGTATATGGGCGGGCGAGTTGGCAGGGCCACCCGGAAAGCACTGGGACTGACATTGACTGTTACTTTGTGATAACATGAAAAGAATCATTTCAAGCAAGTGGAGTTCTTTTCAATGGACCTTGCTAAAAAAAGAGATTCTACAGCCCTACTCAAGCTTCCTTCGTATTAAGAAAAAATGTCCTTGTTGGAGGCTCAGCAGGACATGAGGACAGCGGGGACTTTACTAAGAGCCTCTGGTGACAGGCCGTGAAAGGTCTTCCTTGTGCGCTTGCAGAGCATTAGTCTTGCTTCCCAGAACTCATCACATCCGCTCTCTGTGTCAGCCGCACAGCACTGTGGCTACTGTTCGGGACGGCTTGACTCGTCCTCCACGACCTTGCTGTTTTGCAAACAGACCAGTGACAGTCCCACCCGAGCGCCTTTGCATTCCTGTTCTGCCCACCTGGTATGTTCTTTCCCATGTTTCCTTGTTTCCTTCAGACTATCGATGCCTTGTACCCAGAGACCTCTGGGAACCCACCTGCCGAGAAGCACACTACCCAGTGGTTTATTGCCTGTTGCAGTGGAGGGGAACACAGCCTGGGGTACTGTGGGGGTTTTAGTAAGGGGGGGTCAGGAAGGGCTGAGCAGGTTCGGGCTTGTTTTTGTCTAGATCCAGTCCAGCCACTGAGTGGCCTTGTCTGAGGTTGATGTCCTGTGACGTTGCTTATATTCCACAGGAAAGCACCCGGCCTTCCTATGAATGTCGCCCAGACCTGGACAACAGGGATTGCTTTCTCCTCTCAGAGCTCAGTGTAGAGAACAGAATCAATCTCTCTCTCTCTCTCTCTCTCTCTCTCTCTCTCTCTGTGTGTGTGTGTGTGTGTGTGTGTGTGTGTGTGTGTGTGTGTGTGTGGTAATGGGTGTTGAGAGAAAGCACTTTGAATAACCCGATGAGGCTATATTCAGGTGTCCAGCTAGCAGTCTCACTTCCAGCAACCATGCCTGCTCTCCCAGGCAGACTTGATCTGTGGTCCAGTTTGCTGATTACTCAGAGGAGTGGTCACAAGGGTCTTTGGACAGCTCCTCTGGGTGCCGTTCCCTTCCCCCCCAAGCCAAAACCAGAACAAGCGCCTCCAACTTTGGTTTGACTGCAAGCACGGCTTGGTAGTGCTTGGGCGGCAATGCTGGGCAGGGGCCCCAGACTGTGCTTGTGTTTCTGTAGGTTCAGGCCTGTGGCCACACAGGGTGGAAGAGAATGAAACACCATAAATGACATGACATAAATGAATGGACACCCGTAAACACTTGCCGTAAACACCGGCAGACAGCATGTGCTGCGCCTGTGGCTCTTTGGGCCCCCAGGTGGGGCTCCTGCTTGTGCCTACCATCTGGGCCTGCTTGCTCCTCAAAAAAATCCCTTCAACTCTGCTGTCCAAGGCCCAGAGGAGCTGACAGGCCTGCAGGATTCAGGAAAGGGCTTAGGATGGGTGACCTCTAAAAGTGAACATAGAGACACTTCTGGGCTCTCTGGGTCTCACTATCTGATCTTACTCTCTCATCAGCCTATCAGGAGTTGGAGAGATGGCTCAGGCTTCCAGAGGACCTGGGTTTGGTTCCCAGCACCCTCGGGGTAGCTAACAATCATCTGTAACTCCTATTGTGAGGATCTAATACCCTCTTCCAACTTCCTTGGGCACATGTGATACACAGACATACATGCAGGCGAAACACCCATACACATAAAACAAAATGAACACATCTAAAATAAATGGTATAGGCAGTTACAGTCCTTACTTTACAGGCGAGGGAACCAGTGACACAGGGAGACCTTGTGTAACTTGTCCAGAGACACAGAACTGATGAGGTGCAGGGGACAAGGTTCAGACCCAGGGCTGTCACGGACTTCCTTCTCAGTTCTATGGGCCTTAATGGAGGGGTCTGGGCATTGGGTTGAGGAACCCCCATTAAAAGACACTCTAGATCAGTGGTTCTCAACCTTCCTAGTGCGTTGTGGGGACTCCCAACCATAAAACTACTTTTGTTGCTACTTTATAACTGTAATCTTGCTACTGTTATGAGTAGTAATATAAATATCTGTGTTTTTCTGATGGTCTTAGACAGCCCCTGTGAAAGGGTCATTCGATCCCTAAGGGGATCACAACCCACATGTGGAGAGCAGTTGCCTTAGATCTTGAGGCCTCTCCAGCAAATACTCAGAAGAGCCAATAGGGCCTGAGCTGGGTTAGAGTATGGAACCTGTCCCAAAAGGAGAGACAGAGAGAAGGCTGCGCTGGACCCTGGGTTAAGTGGACCTTCGGGCTGCCTGTGCTGCTTCCACAGGTCTGAGACGTACGTGGTTGAGGGTATAGGAACCTTGGCTCCCGGCTGATCTTTTCTTGTCTGAGAGCTTCCTCTTGTGGCCACCAGGGGGAGGCACTACCCTGTAACTATCTGCAAAGGTGAGTCCCACTCCCAGCCTTGTACATGGCCTCTGGCCACTGTGATCCTCTCCCAGCTTTGCTCTAAGGAAGGGGAGGGAAAGAGGAGCTGGCTGATGAGGCCTGGTCTGAGTGTTGTGGCTTTCACTTTCAAAAAGTAGTCTGTGTGTGGGTGTGCACGCTGGGTGTGCGGGGGGTGGGGCACAGCACCTTGCCCCTCCTCTGTCCTAGAAGTGTGTTCCACTGAAAAGCCCACTGGCCCTCTGGCAGTGCTCATGGTGCTAAAACTCCTGGAGTTTTGTAAAATATCCTCCTCTTCTACATTTAGTAAAAGACAACATGGGGCTTCCCTACCTACACGACAACCACGCGGCTCAGCCCTTCCCTCGCAGTCAAGTTGGTATTAGTGAATGCATCCTGTTACTTCCCCTCTGCTCCAACCACGTAGCAAAAAGAAAGGATACAGGGCTAGGGAGACGGCTCAGCGGGATTGCGCTAACTGAACAAGTCAGATCTGGGACTCGTGTGGAAAGCTAGATGCGGTGGCACACATTTGCAATGCCAGCACTCCTACGTGAGATGGGAGGTAGAGACAAGGGCTAGCCGAGAGTGTGCGGCATGCAGAAACCAGAGAGAGCCAACTCAAGGTGGAAGGTGAGAGCTGACTTTCAAAAACTTTCCTCTGACTCACGACACTCACAGACGTGCACACGCACAAACACACATGACACACACATGCACATGTACACTGACAGCAACAAAAGACAAACTGAAAGATGTAGTTAGTGTGCAAATCAAAATGGATATTTGTGTGTACCAGAAGTGGATAAAAAAAGGCTTGCTGGCCTCAGAGTCTAGAAGCATCGGGGCCTCCAGAGGCATAACTCCTGATAAATAACTCCATGCATCTGAGATGCTCCATGTATCTGAGGTGCTTCATACATCTGAGGTGCTCCATACATCTGAGATGCTCCATGCATCTGAGATGCTCCATGTATCTGAGGTGCTCCATGCATCTGAGGTGCTCCATACATCTGAGGTGCTCCATGCATCTGAGATGCTCCATGCATCTGAGGTGCTCCATGCATCTGAGGTGCTCCATGCATCTGAGGTGCTCCATGCATCTGAGGTGCTCCATACATCTGAGGTGCTCCATACATCTGAGGTGCTCCATACATCTGAGGTGCTCCATGCGTCTGAGGTGCTCCATACATCTGAGGTGCTCCATACATCTGAGGTGCTCCATGTATCTGAGGTGCTCCATGCATCTGAGATGCTCCATACATCTGAGGTGCTCCATGCATCTGAGGTGCTCCATGCAAGACAGAGGGGATCAGGAAGGCTCCTTCAAGCCAGGAGTGGCTGAAGTTCCCTCTACCCTGTAATAGGAGGGCAGGAGGGGAAAACTCTGCTGTCATGTTCAGCCAGGAACACAAAGGCCCCACTACTGCTGAGCCAAGCCATGCCTCCATCTGACTGAACCTGGGATGTCCTTCACGTCCCTGAGGGGTGGAGATCCAAAATGCTGTGACAAGACTCGGTCTCTTCTAGGCCTAGGATTCCAGTTTAAGAGAGTTGGGGACAGAGTGAAAAAACCCATGTGAGAACAACAAAATCCCTGGAGGGTAAGATAAGCAAAGCACAATGATGTGTTTGTGTGTGAAAATATCATAACAACATCCATTCTTTTGTAACTTAGGAGTTTTAATTGGCCAGCGGTTGTCTCAACTCTGTGCTGGGGCCAGCATGGCCACAGGAGACAAATCTCAGGTTCAGACTGGCTTTATTGAAATAGAGTTCGCCACCTGACTGGATGCTCCCTTGAATCCCTGGGTTTGTGTTGAGCTGAATACTGGAAGGCACGCAGATAAAGTTTTTCACACCCATGAACATAATATCACAACTGGTAACCAGCATACTTTAAACATGAACTTTCTGAGACACGAGGACCTCGGCCAAGCCAAGAAAGAACGCCTGATATTCTTATCAACTTGCAGGATCACATCTGTTGTGTGACATTGCTTGAGGAGACGTGAACAAAACGTCTCTCCACCCCAGATAAGGCAGATCAGAAAGAAAAGAGTCCACGGAAATGTAGCCTGGCTAATGGGTGAGTCTAATGACTGGGCACAGGGGCATAGGTGAGGAATTACTCATAGGAGCCCGGGTAACTCAAAGACAGCCATGTCACTGAAAGCCCACAGCAGCCCCACCTCGTCTCACTGGCCTCTCTGCGCCCCCCCCTCCCCTCCCCCTCCCCCTCCCCCCCTCCCCCCCTCCCCCAGCTGTTGGCAGCTTTTGTAGCTTCAGGGAAAGGCTTTCGCTGTCTGTCCCGTTCCCCTCAGCTTCTGAGTCTTGTGAGCCTCTCTCCTTCCTGGAGTGACTGTTTTAATTTGAAGCAAATAGCTATAAAATAACTTCACACATGTGCTCCAGGATAGCAGAATAGATACGGATGTGTTTGACGCTATTGATCCGGGCGGAGGGGACTCATTCCCTGCTTCAGCCTCCGAGACGCCGAACTCAGCCGGCCCGCAGAAGGGGATTTTTCTCACTTCCGGTCTTGGAGGCCCACATGGCTGTTTCTTTTAAGCTGTTTGATTCTGTTCGAAGCTTGTTGATCTAGGACTCACAAAGTGGCTCTGGTTTGCATTCTTTGCTGATGCCACCTTTGGAGGAGGGTGGGACAAGGGACCTGCTAGGAGACAGAAGATGGGCTCCACTGACAAAAATAATCACAGAAAGTTCCAGAAACAAAAACATGCCTGCATTTCTTCTTCCCTCCACAATCAAGTCTAATAAAACCAATAAGTAGATTCAAAATAAGAGTCAATTCCCTTATGTTCATGTACAATAAATAAATATTTTCTGAGAGAAAATCTCTCAACTCACTGTGAGATTATAATGGAAACATATGGAAAATAACTTAATAGTTAAAAAAAACCAAATTCCAAACCCAACATTTGGAATATGAATCTATTCCAGATTGTTAATTTTATGAAAGTCTCCAAAGAATTAGACATGATTATTAGGGAGATAAGAAAGGCAAATGAAGGCTTAAAATCCATTTGGAAACAACAAGAGTGAGTGGAAGCATCCGTAAAGAGGAAATAGATGTGAGATAACCAACTAGGAACCAAGGAAGGAAGTTTTGTTATGGAAAATCAGCATACATTGTAGAGTAGGCACACAGAACTATCAAGATAAGAGGAGTGGTTTAGAAATTAACCCTAATATAAGGAAGGATTAATTTAGAGTCAGAATTTAAGATTAGGCATCATTTATATAAAGTACAGACCCTGCTGGGTTAAGTATAAAAAATTAGCCAGGCATGGTGGTGTACATCTTTAATCCCAGCACTGGGGAGGCAGAGGCAGGAGGATCTCTGAGTTCAAGGCCAGCCTGTTCTACATAGCAAGTTCCAGGCCAGCCAGGGCTACATAATGAGACCCTGTCTCAATAATAAATGAATGAATGAATAAATAAATAAATAAACTCATGTCTTAGGCTTGAAGGCAGGTGAGCCATAAGTTAAAACCAGAAAGAATTGCTTCCCAGATTTCTGACTAATAGAAACTGATGGGTGATAACAAATGATTACTGTTACACGAAGCTGATAAACTTGGAGATTAATCGCTTGCATCAGAGGTACTGTGTCATCTCATACCACCCCAGTTCCTAATCCCTAAAGCAAAACACTTTCAGCTCTCCACACCTAGTGTTCTGTTGTCACTCTGGTATTGACTTTTATATTTTCCACTTTAGATTATATCCTTTCCCTCTCCTCCACTTCTCTCCCTATCTCAGTTTTTGTGATAGCATCTGCCTATTTAGACCATGTTAGCCCTGAACTTGCTGTGTAGCCAAGGATAGCCTATAACTTTCTATCCCCCTGCCTCTGCCTTTGAAGGGCTGAGTTTACAGGTGTGTGCTATTGTGCCTGACTATTGACTTCTTTGCTGTAGGTGATGGTGAAATGTTGGTGGAGACCATCTCCTGCCTACACCTGGATTTGTGTCTTGCCCCTCTCCAGGAGCAGAGTGGACCTGCTGTAGAGACTACAAACAGGAGGTACTTTATTGTCAGCTCTGGATTAGCAACTGTAGGGTAAAAGGGCCCTGAAACCAGAGCCAAAGAAACACACTCTGCCCCGACCAACTGAGCACGAAACCAACCAATCCCTGAGCAGGAAAACCATCCAATCCCTGAGCATAAAATCTAGCCAGTCTCTGAGTTTGTCCAAACTCAGGGATTGAAATCTGACCAATTCCCACCCTGAAAATCTTCAACCTGGAAAAACTTCACCCCTAAGGAGCCCTGTATAAGGCCTGTGCCTGTTCAGTTGGGAGCTGCCTTTTTTTACCCTGGCAGAGGCAGCCACTCTCCTGGATTCCTCCCTCCCAGTATATCACTTGAATGGGTTTTGGGTGAAGACTTTCTTTCACTGGAGTGGAGAAGCAATGGACATCTCTGCTGGGAAACTCTCTTAGTGGATCAGAGCAGAGAAGCAACAGACAACTCTGCTGGGAAACTCTCTTAGCAGAGTGGAGCAGAGTGGAGCAGAGTGGAGCAGAGCTCAGCTGTAAAGGGCTCTCTCAGAGAGGAGCAGGATTGCCACACTCTGCAGGGAGATCATCCCCCACTGGAACACAGCTTCAGGTGTAGCCTGACTTCCTGACAGTCAGGATACCTTTCTCTTCACAGCTGTAGGTATCCAGGATACCTCCTCTTTACAGCTGTAGGTATAGCCTGACTTCCTCCAGAGCTGTAACACTTGAAGCAACCTTAAATGATATGAAATAACTTAAAACAGATTGCTACAATAATAAAATTCACGGCTAAATTTTATGCTTTATTAGGATATTCCCCCATCTTTACCCTCTGTTTTCCCAATGACTGTGGCCTGTCCCCTCAGCTTACTATAAAGCTATTTGAGGCACTGATTCATATGATAAAAGATCAGGGATTTGTTTGACAATAAGTGACTGTAATGCCTTTGGTACCTAAGAATTGAGGATCCCCAGGTTGCTCCTTAGCGCCCTGGGTATGCCCATGTAATCCAGCACTGGAGAGGCAGGATCAGGAGGACCCTGGGCCTTGCTGGCCACTAGTCTAACAAACTTGGTGAGCTCTAGCTTCGGGTTCAGTGAGAGACTCTGCCTCAGAAAGTAAGGTGGGGAGAGTGATGGAGGAGTGTAGCTAGAGTTTTCCTGCCTGGCCCACAGTCAGGACAAATCTCTCTCACCTGCCAGTCCCACAGCCGTCAGACCCGACCAAGTAAACACAGAGACTTACATTGCTTACAAACTGTATGGCCGTGGCAGGCTTCTTGCTAACTGTTCTTACAGCTTAAATTAACCCATTTCTATTAATCTACGTGGCTTGTGGCTTACCGGCATCTTCACATGCTGTTTGTCATCATGGCGGCTGGCAGTGTCTCTCTGACTCAGCCTTCCACTTCCCAGCTTTATTCTCCTCCTTGTCCCGCCTATACTTCCTGCCTAGCCAACGGCCAATCAGTGTTTTATTTATTGACTAATCAGCAACACATTTGCCATACAGAACATCCCACAGCAGAGGAGAGCATCCGATGCTGAGTTTGCCTTCCAAACACACACACACAGACACACAGACACACAGACACACAGACACACAGACACACACACACACACGGGCACACGGGCACACGGGCACACGGGCACACGGGCACACAGGCACACATTTATATACAACCTACTGAGTCCATTTAGCTAGTGTGTCCAGGGATGAGCACTTGGGATTGGCAACCTAGGTGGGAGCTTTTCCCTGGGGGACACTGATTCTCTCTCTCTCAATAGCCATTTACTCCCTTGATCTCTTCATCTAGGGATGGAACCTTGGGGAATTTTGCCTGTCCATGCTTGTCTGTCAGCTAGTGTCAGCCAGGGGTCTTGTTCAAGCAAACTGGGTCTTTGATGTGTGTGTGTTTGTTCCTGAGTGTATGTATGCACATCTGTGTGTACAGGTGCCTGCAGAGGCCAGAGAGGATATCAGACCTTCTGGAACTGGATTTACAGATGTCTGTGAGCCGCTATATGAGTCCTGGGACCTGAACCTGGGGCTTCTATGAGAATAACCGGTGTTCCTAAGCACTGAGTTGTCTTTCAGCACCAAGAAAAAAAAAATAACAGTGTTACTTACTGGTGATTTTACATGTTTATCTGCTTCAGTGTCTGTATGTATGGTCAGAGGACAGCTTGTGGGATTGGATTCTTTCTTTCCACCATGTGGGTCCCAGGGATCAAATGCAGATTGTCATACTTGATGGCAGGGGCTTTTACCATTGAGTTATCTCACTGGCCAAAGATATGAAACTTTCAATGGAGGAAATTACAAAGCACCGTGGAAAAATCAAAAAGAAGACTAAAAAGAAACAAAGAGACACATTCATGGAGCTGAAGACTCAATGTCCTGCAAACACCTCCCAAGCAGTCCCCAACTCAATTAAGATTCATGGATCAGAAGACTGAACATCCTGACCATGCCTCTACCAGTAATCTGCAAATCCAATTAAAATTCTACCCAAATCTCAATGAAGTTTTGTTTTGGATGGAATTTGACAAGCTGATCTTAAAATTCACAAAGAAGATCAACAAGCAGATAATTTTGGGAAAGAACACAAGGCAGCCTGGTGGAGAAGACTTAATCTACAGACTAATGAGACTTAGTGGTATTATGGAGGAATAGTAATTAGAGAGTGGGGTGGTAGAACAGAACAGAGAGCCCTGCAAGGGACCCACGCACATATGGAAAAGACAGACAGCAGCTGGGGTTTCAAATCACAGGATAAAGAAACTACTTTGAGAAATAGTTGGTGCAGGGTTGGAGAAATGACTCAGTAAAGACACTCGTGGCCAAGCCAGACGACCTGGATTCAATACCTGGAGCCCACAGAGTGGAAGGAGAGAATCATCTCTCTGGTTTCCACATGTCTAGACACACACACACACACACACACACACACACACACACACACACACACACATACACACACACTCATACACACACACACACAAAACATATATGTATTGCATGACATGCATGTTTGGTGCCTACAGAGGTCAGAAGAAGGTATCCAGTCCCCCTGGAACTGGAGTTCTGGATTATTGTAAGCCAACAGTGTGGGTGCTGAGAATTGAACCCAGGTCCCTCCTCAAGAACAGAAAGTGATCTTAACCAATGGACCATCTTACCAGCACCCAAAGATTTCTTTAACAGGATATAAAAATAGACCACACAAGAAGAAGGTAGTTGCACTTTACCTGCTCCGGTCAGGTGACTCCCATTTAAAGTGATGTCAGACAGAATTGGAGACAAGGCTCAAAATAAGGACTGAATGTGTTCATCACGTAGGAAACGGGCAGGGTGGCGTCTGCATTTGTGAAGAAGTCCTGTCCTACAGCAGGAAAGCGCTGAATAACTGTGACAGAGAAGGACGCACTTCGAAGAAGGAAAGCAGTCTGACAGCTCCATTAGTAGTCAAGGAAAAGAATATTTAAACTAAAGGAGAAACAGCCTGGTACCCCTCACACTGGCAGTGGAGCAGGCAGGCTACCAGGTACTCAGAGAGAAGACAAACGGAAGGGAGACCACCACAGGCTTCCTGGTGAGAGCATAAATTGGTGTATTCACTTTGAAAACAACAATCCGGCCATGCTTAAAACATGTCAGTTCCACAGGTCCTTGGCTTGCACAGCTGTCTTCTACAAGACTGCAGCCTTGTTCATACCTGGGAAAACCTGAAAACCATCTACCCAAGCTACCAACAGGAGAGGGAATAAATAACCCTACAAAGCATTTATTTACAGAGCAGTGAAAATGCAATGTATGTTAACAGATAAATTTCAAAAACCTAACGTTGAGCTCTAAAATAATTCCATTAAAAAAATGACACATAGAATCCAGCATGGTGGCACTTGCCTGTAATCCCAGCACTCAGGAGGCAGAGGCAGGTGGATCTCTGAGTGGTCTTGATCTTAATCTATAGACCAGGCTGGCTTACATAGTGAGACCCTATCTCAAAAGAAACCAAACCAAACAAAATTTTAAGACAGACACATAGAGTATGATCCATTTAAGGTTTATTTTTAATTTTATGCATGCGTATGTGTGTGTGTGTGTGTGTGTGTGTGTGTGTGTGTGTGTGTGTATGAGTGCAAATGCATGTGGACACCAGAAAAGGGTGTCAGATCTTCCCAGACCTGGAGTTTCAGGCAGCTGTGAACCACCTGACATGAGTTCTGAGAACCAAACTATGGTCCTCTGCAAGAGCAGGAAATGCTCGTAACTGCTGAGCCACCTCTCCAGGCAGGTATGACACATTTTATGTAAGTTTGATGACATGTAATAGATGTATAATTGCAAATACATTACGCAGTATGAAAATGTAGGAGAAAGATAACATCAGAATTCTATAGATCTGGATGTTGAGTATTTGGACGCGAGGTTTGTTAATGTCTTTACTTCTCTGAAATATTGCAGCAGAAGCTGGATAGATGACTTATTGGCTAAGAGTGCTTGCAGTTCAACCAGACTTTGTTTTCCAGGATTCATATCAGGTGGCTCATAGTGACCTGTATGTAACACCAGCTCCAGGGGACCAGATGCCCTCTTCTGGCTTCCAAGAGCACTCTGCATGCATGTGGCATACACACTCAGACATATGAAGTTTTCAGTTTTATTGGTTTTGATTTTTGGGACTACATAGGGTCTCTCTAGGTAGTCCTGGCTGTCCTGGAACTCCATAGACAAGACTGGCTTTAAACTCACAGAGATCCTCCTGCCTCTGCCTTCCAAGTACTGTGCACTACCATGCCTGGCATGCATATGTAATTTTAAAAAAGTATTACAGCAGGTGTAGTCTCAATCTCCATTGCTGTCAGTCTGAAGAGAATGACTTCTGAGTTCATGTGTGTGTGTGTGTGTGTGTGTGTGTGTGTGTGTGTGTTTCATAGTGCCGGCATCACCAGCACCATATCACTGCGTTGAGAGTTCCCTCATCTCAGGGACTCTAATTTCTCCCTTCATAGTCCCAGGATCAGGCGAAGCAAGAGGTTCAACCTGTGTTTACTGACTGACTGACTGACTGACTGATGGATTATATGAATGAACGCCTAGAGGAAGAGGGAAATGTAACAGGGAAGAGGGAGGAGGAAGGTGGAGAGATTGTGAGAGGTTTTGTGCATGCTCAGCAAGCAGGCACTCTACGACTGAGTCGCGTCTCCAGCCAGGAGTGAGACGGCTGCTGCTGTCATTTCCTGAGCTGCCACATACGTCAGATCCCCTGCTAAGGTGCCAACACCTCTGCAACGTGTTCATCGGTGGTTTGGCGTGGTAGGCAGCGAGAGCGTAATGAGAGGGAGTGGGAGTACAGCCTCGGGAGCCGCCTTGGTCTCTGGCTTTTGAGGCAACAGTGGGTGAGGTAGGGAGAAGATCGTGGCTAAGGGGAGGTGGGGGAGTGTAGTTGGGATCTCAGGTGGTTCAGTCAATAGCTTTGATTTCTTTGAGGAAGAAGAGACACAACACACCTGTCATAGGAAATGCAGGTAACAATAAAAGAAAGTAAGAATATTTGAGTTCCAAACCCCATTGTGTATAAAGCGCAAAGGTACAAGCATACATTGATAACAGGGAAGGTTGGGAATGTAACAGGGCCCCAGACCTTAGCACACCCGACTCCATGATAGAAGCACCACTCAGGCCACAAAACTCAGCAAGTGGACAGCATCACCTGCCAAAACGAAAATAAAGGTCTACTCCATCCAAGTCCACAGCATGGGAAAGTCTCTAAATGTACTAACCTCACTTTTTGGCTTATCTATAGTTCCACTTCTGGCCAACTGTTCTTGTTAACTGAAGTATGTCAACCCAGGACATGGTTTTTATATTCAAAAGATCACCCCGAGAAAGGCTTGGGGCTACACTGATATCCTGAAAACCCAAACCAGTGTAGTCTGCTGACGGGCTAATAAAGACTTTCTATCAGCCTAAACCCATGTCTGAACAATCTTTTCTGATGGATACCCCTCAACAAGGAAGAATCAACATGAACAGCCACACAGAACCTGTACGATTTCAGGCCTGTGCGCGCTGAGCAGAACAGCTTCCATGTGCAGGGGAGAGCTGTTGGACCCCAGACTAGCCTAGGAAACCTCCCACAGCTGCATCCTGAAGAACTCTCCTCTGAGGTGGTGTCGGGGAGAGGGTGGGCGTTTGTCTTTGCCGTGGGCAGAGGGATGTCTCTACAGATTGCCTCCTGAGGAATTCAGACTTAGGTATGTATTCAGCTCTATCTCTGGTGGCCCAGTAACTTCCCTGTTATGAACCAATGAACCAGTTGTATGTGAGAATAAAAGCATAAACACACCTCAAGTATGTTTGTGTTTGTGTTTCAAGTAGACTGTCCTGGATTAAACTCTGTGTGTGTGTGTGTGTGTGTGTGTGTGTGTGTGTGTGTGTTCCTCTTTCTTGAGGAATGGCCCAAACTACATCCTAGCTTCACAGAGGTAGCTCCTACCAGAAGTGGGACCTCTGGAGTGACTGAGGGGAACATTTATTATAAATATATATATATATATATATATATATATAATATAATATATAATAATATGACATTATCCTGCCTGCTTCATTCACTGTTTTTTTTTTTTTTTTTTGGTTTTTCGAGACAGGGTTTCTCTGTGTAGCTTTGCGCCTTTCCTGGGACTCACTTGATAGCCCAGGCTGGCCTCGAACTCACAGAGATCCGCCTGTCTCTGCCTCCCGAGTGCTGGGATTAAAGGCGTGCGCCACCACCGCCCGGCCTCATTCACTGTTTTAAGGTGGGGTGTCACCAGGTTGTCAGGCTGGTGTCCACTTGTGGACTCTGATGCTCGGAGCCTCTGGAGTGGCTGGGAGACGTCTGCCTGTTGAGTAGTCAGTTGTCTGAGGAAGCAGTGTGGCAAATGAGTCCTGTTGTATTTGGAGGGTGTGGGACAGCCAACAGGCCCCCTGGGAGGGATGTGGAAGACATGGGGCTGACTGTAACCTAAATGTCTGACCACTAAGTGCTGCACTTCGCCTGTGCCTTTCCCCTTCAGGCCTGGCCTACCACAGGACCTGCTCAAGCAAGAACACCTACTACAGAGAGGCTCCTGCTCTGCATTGCCTTTACCTAGTATTGCACCACAAGTGTCTTTCTTCTCCTCATTAGGCATTCTGAATCAAGGTGTTTTGTGAGCACTCTATAAGGACGGGCTTATTAACCTATGTTAGTAACCTACTTCCTATGTTGGGAAAGCTCGGCACGCCCAGTTGTTTTGCAGCTGGCCGGTACCATATTCTTTGCAAGGACCAGCGGCACGAACTCCCGCATCTCCTGTGGTGTCCACTGCACCACTTCCTGAAACAGTGTCAGTTACTCCCAAGCTTACAGAAGTTATGAAGAGACACACCAGGCCGCAGCAAGGCGAAGACGAAGGGCAAAGGCCGGGCGGGAATCACCCCAGTCCCTTGCAGCTGCAGACTTGGCCGAGCCGAGCCGAGCGCCGTCCCCACAGCGTTTGGCTTCACGTCAGCCGGGTGAGTCAGCTGACCTGGCACACTCCTCCAAGCCGAAAGTCACATCCTGCCGGGGTGTTGCCAACCTCTCCCACGACCCAAGCTCTCCCAGTCCTCGAGGCCCTAGTAAGGCCCGTGTGACTGGGGCAGGGGCGAGATAGGAAGTACATGTGAAGTAGTATGCAGTTCTTGTGGTGATATGTGTTCCCCTCATGTGTCTCCACACCTCACGCCCACCCCCCCATCCCACCCCGCCCCGCGTTTGGGGCCAGAAGGTGCCAGACAGACCTTACTATTTGGGCAATCCTGACCTTACCTCTCTGAGATCTCAGACATTAGTTTTCCTTATCCTTTAGATGGAAAATGTCACATGCACTTATGAAAAAGGAAAAGTGTCGATGTGTTTAATGTGACATGGTCTTTGTACTGGCTGGTTTTGTGTGTCAACTTGACACAAGCTAGAGTCATCACAGAGGAACGAGCTTCAGCTGAGGAAATGCCTCCTGAGATCCAGCTGTAAGGCATTTCCTCAATTAGTGATCAATGGGGGAGGGCCTGGCCCATGGTGGGTGGTGCCATCCTTGGGCCGGTGGTCCTGGGTTCTATAAGAAAGCAGGCTGAACAAGCCATGGGGAGCAAACCAGTAAGCAGCTCCCCTCCATGGCCTCTGCATCAGCTCCTGTGTCCAGGTTCCTGCCCTGCGTGAGTTCCTGTCCTGACTTCCCTCGGTGATGAACAGTGATGTGAAAGTGTAAGCCAAATAAACCCTTTCCCCCCCAAGCTGCTTTTGGTCATGGTGTTCATCACAGCAATAGACACCCTAACTAAGACAGCCTTAATACATTTCCTACCAAGTACCAATATGTGCTATAAATGGGAAAATCTAAAGCGAGAAGCCAGCTTGTCCTATGATTTTTCTTTTAAAAGATATCAACAACAGCCAAAAATCTACCCCAAGAGTGTTGTGGTGCGGGTGAGCCGGCTCAGTGTAAATCGTTTGCCTTAAGCCTCCTGCCCTAAGTTCCGTGGAAAAGAGGGAACCAATGCACGGATTTGCCCTCTGACCTCCCCGACACAGGCACCATGATGTGCAACACCCTCATTCCATACAAAATAACTTTTTAAAAGATTTTTTTTTTTATTCCCAGAGCACTCCGAGTCCCTGAAGAAGCATTTAGGAAAGAGGCGGAGGGTTTTGTGAAGAGGACGTCCTTGAAGAAAGCTGTGCTGGGCATCTCATCTCAGGGACAGCTGAGTTCTTTGCTTCCTTAACTGAAGTTCTGTGAGGGAAAGGGTCAGCCTGCTGGGTGGACAGCTGGGTTCTGGGAAGCCAGACAGAGGGAGAAAGCTGCTGTGGGGGAGCCGCTGCCCCCTCAGTGGGGTCAGCCTCATGTGCTTCCTGAGTAATGCTAGGGTATGTGAAGCATAAACTATTCTGGACAGATTTGGGACCTGCAGTAAAAGAGAATTGGCATGGGTTCCTACCTTTCTCTCTGTGTATGCAGACATGGTCTCACACACACACACACACACACACACACACACACACACACACACACACACATACACATACGTGTATGCAAACATGCACACAAGCAGATACATGTAAGTGTCAAAGAGTAACTTCAAATCTCTTCCCTTCCTCCACTTTCCGTCAGGGGATGAGTTCAGCTCTCAGGCTTACAGTAAGCACTTTGCTGGATGACCCTCTCACCCACCCCTCCCTTCCTGGATGACCCCTCACCCACCCCTCCCTTTCTGGATGACCCCTCACCCACCCCTCCTTCCTGGATGACCCCTCACCCACCCCTCCTTCCTGGATGACCCCTCACCCCACCCCTCCCTTCCTGGATGACCCCTCACCCACCCCTCCCTTCCTGGATGACCCCTCACCCACCCCTCCCTTCCTGGATGACCCCTCACCCACCTCTCCTTTCCTGGATGACCCCCTCACCCACCCCTCCCTTCCTGGATGACCCCCTCACCCACCTCTCCTTTCCTGGATGACCCCCTCACCCACCTCTCCTTTCCTGGATGACCCCCTCTCCCACCCCTCCCTTCCTGGATGACCCCTCACCCACCCCTCCTTTCCTGGATGACCCCCTCACCCACCCCTCCCTTCCTAGATGACCCCTCATCCACCCCTCCTTCCTGGATGACCCCTCACCCACCCCTCCCTTCCTGGATGACCCCTCACCCACCCCTCCCTTCCTGGATGACCCCTCACCCACCCCTCCTTCCTGGATGACCCCTCACCCACCCCTCCCTTCCTGGATGACCCCCTCACCCACCTCTCCTTTCCTGGATGACCCCCTCACCCACCCCTCCTTCCCTGATGACCCCCCTCACTTACCCCTCCCTTCCTGGGTGACTCCTCTCACCCAGCCCTCCTTCCTGGGTGACTCCCCTCACCCAGCCCTCCCTCCCTCTTATGAAAACCCTAATGCCAGGGTGGGTGAGATGGCTCAACAGATAAAGGCACTTGCCACCAAGCTTGATGACCTGAGTTTGATTGCTGGAGCCACAGTGGCAGAAGTTTGAGAAATGTTGTTTTCTCTCAGAGGTAGCTAGCCCATCAAAGGACAACATCCAAAAATCTCCCTCACTTTTAATCTCCTCCGCCTAGTAAAATTTTTATGAACATCTTCTCATATCCCAACCCTATTCCTTTAAAATTAGTCAATCCAAAAAGACTATGAAGCCAGCCTATGGAAAAAAGTCTTAGTCACTACCTGCATTAGAAAACAAACAAACAAAAAAAACAACCGTGATCTTTCTGCCACCCCAATCCCACCTCGCCCTGCCCCAAGGGCTCACTAGCCTGGTTTGGATTCTGTCAAATCCTTCCCCCCCCCCCAAAAAAAAGAAATTGCTTTGTCAAAAGCTATTTTTGTTCTGTTTATGTGTTGTGTGACACCAAGATTATTTTTTGTTTTTAACGAAGGGAGAGAATTGATTTCACATAGTTGTCCTCTGACCTCCAAACATGTCCTGTGGCACTCATGAACCCTCCCTCAAATAAAATAAACAAAGGATGGTAATGTCATCATGGAGGCTCCACCTTCATGACTTGACCTCATTCTAATTACCTCCCAAGGCCCTACCTTCAAATATCACTAACGTATAAATCTGAGACCAGGCAATGGAAGCAGAGGCAGGTGGGTCTCTGAGTTCGAGGCCAGTCTGGACTACATAGTGAGATTCAGGATAGCCAGAGCTATGGGACAGAGACCCTGTCTTGAAATAAATAAATAAATAAATAAATAAATAAATAAATAAATAAATAAATAAATATTTAACACAAGCAAACATATGGATCTGAAAACTATGTTTCCAGCTTGTGGGCTCTTATGGAACATCATTGAGCCATAGCCAGCTCCACGTCCTAGGTTCTGTGTAGAGGGACTTCAAGACTGAATGTCCTGGAGCTGAGGTCTCAGATGGCTTTGTGGAAGGAGACTGGACATGAGCTACATGTTTCTGGGAAAGAGTCTAAATCCAGCGTACAGCTGTTCCCCAACTTTCACCCCCCAGTGTGCCAACGATGGTAGCTGTCATAACCACTGGGGCAGGCAGAGTAGGAAGGAGCTGATAAGCTGTTAATCCTACCGTTCAAGAATAAGACTACCACAATCTAAAGCCAAATTTGAAGCAAGCTTTAACTAAATATTGGCCAGGTAGATAGGCTCTGGCCAGGTTCATCTCTGAGTTCCTAGAACAATGGCCTCAAGTCGTGTTTTGAGGGGTTTAAAAAGGCAAAGCCTATAATTTACCACATTTCCTATCAGGTTCAATCAGGGGCAAGGGTACATCCTGACTTATTTCCTGCTCACATGTGATCAAGCACATCTGGTGCAGATAGGTCAAACAGGAACTTATTCTTAACTGCACACAGAACTCTTAACCTGCAAGGCATATTTTTCCAGTTTTGGTCTCACATTCTCCCCCTTCCTGCCCCCCTGAATTGTATCCTGAGTCAAATCCTTGACTCTGTGATGGGTGCCTGTTTCTATTGGGATCTAATAACCATCAGTTTAATGGTACCCAGACAGGAATTATCATTTAATTAAGGCATCAGTGATGCAAGAGCCAACAGGAATTAACAGAAGCAGAAAGAGCCAAGAGCCCTGCCATGGCTGACATCAGAGTTACTATCTAGGAGGAGCCTGGAAATGAGACTAAGTACCAGCTATTTACTTCATCTCAGGTCCCCTTTTTTGCATTTTTTTGTACAGCCAGATTTTTTTCTAATAATTTCTGAATGTTCTGTATCAAAACAACAATTTTCTCTTAAAGCTACATAATAACCTCTTTGTTTTATACAGAGCAGGTCGAGTGCCCTTCATATTGTAGAACTATTTCAGCTAATGAATCTACCTGTTGATAGATCTGGATCTATTTGGTTCTAATAGGTACCTTTCCTGACGTGCCAAAAAAAAAAAAATCTTAAGCTTGTGACTGACAATAGCAATTAGTGAGCTATCAGCTTATCAAAACTCCATTGATCAATGTTAAAATGCTGAAATTTTTAAATACTAGTATAACAATAACATAGAGTGGGAGAGAAATCTGAAGCATTTCCCATTTTTCACATGCCTGAAATCACTTATGTATACTTTTACAACTTGCATGTATGCATCTTAAATCACTTTCTGAGACCCTTAGAACTTACTTAAGCTTTCATATTCACAGATCTTTATATACCTTAGTACATTTTTTTAGACCCTCAGAACTTGTATGGACTTTAAACCCTTTTCTTTCCATCTAATCATATACTAGAGACACAAGGAGTTATTCCTGAGAACAGTTACTGCAAATCATGTTCCTTTAGTGGAAAGTTACATCTGAAGCATGTTTGTCTTTTTTTTTTTTTTTTTTTTGGTTTTTTGAGACAGGGTTTCTCTGTGTAGCTTTGCGCCTTTCCTGGAACTCACTTGGTAGTCCAGGCTGGCCTCGAACTCACAGAGATCTGCCTGCCTCTGCCTCCCGAGTGCTGGGATTAAAGGCGTGCGCCACCACCGCCCGGCACATGTTTGTCTTTTAATATGAAGCCTGTTAGCAAGGCAAACCTGTCTAGCTTTTCTCAGAAGGAGACTTAGTAGCTCTGGAAAAAGCAAGCCCTAATTTTTACATATGAAATGAGCTAACAAGCTGGCTCCAGTCTTGGGGAAGAACCTGATTGCCTGCTGCTGCCAAGTTGACAAAGCTATAGTTGGCCTAACTGTCAATACCCTCAGAGAACTGAGGAGGATAAATTACAGCAGGAAGTAACTATGTATTAATTAAAATGACAGAGACTAGTTCATTACCTAGACGATCATTTCAGGCTCCTATAGTCTCCATGTCACTGGGGGCAGAGATAGCAGGACAGCATCAGTCTTCATCCACCAGGTCCAGGAGACCTGAGAGACTTTTCCTGTGGAGGAGAACCTGGAGAACTGACCTTACTTTGTCTAGGGAAAGTGGGGCAATCAACTCTCCAGTGTTTTGCTTGCCCACAGTTTGGGCAGGGCCCTGGCCACAGGTGAGACATTGGGGCAGTCTTGCCCAGTGGTTAGCATTACCACAATCCAGATGGAGTTGTCATGGTGCCCTGTCATCTTTAGAGCCTTCAAGGTCACTGCTAGGATCTGAGAATTTTGTCTGTCATAGTAAGATTTTCCATAAAACATTTTAAATGCCATATTCATCAGATCTCTGACCAGTTCAAGGACAATTACCTATTAAGTATATCTGAGCTAAACAAACTTTTGCTTGGTTTTAGTTACTTGCTTTAGGCTTAACCTTGAAAACATATAGGATGCTAAATAAGTCTTTTTCCTGTAATTAACTACATTAGTACATAGCATAACTACAAGTATAGTTTTGAACACATTACAAAATTTGTCCATTAACTTGCATGTCTTAATTATCTTTAACAGTTCATAACTTTTATAAGAATAGGACTTCACAGCTGTATCTCTGTTAAGTTTGAACCTTAAAAAAATAACAATATCTGAATTGAAGTTCTTTTTAGTATCAAAATAAAACTTTTAACTCAGAAACACAGTCCACAGAGAGATTGAGAACTTTCCTGATCCTTTGATAGTACACCATTACAGAACATAACATTCTTATAAGACTCAGTTTATCAAAATAGCTAAATCTTAATAAGGCTCATAAAGACAAGGAAGCTAGACACACATTCTTAAGCCTAAATAGACTTTGAGTAAGGAGAGACAGTATCTAAGCCAGTGGTTTTCAACCTTCCTAATGCTGTGACCCTTCAGCACGTTTCCCCATGTTGTGGTGACTGCCCCAACCATAAAATCATTCAAATTACTATTTTACAATTGCAGTTTTGCCAGTATTATGAATGGCAATGCACACACCCGACATGCAGACAGTCCTAGGCTACCCCTTCCAAAGGGTTTTTTGACTCCCAAAGGGTTGCAATCTGTAGGCTAAGATCTGCTGCTCCAAGCTCTTTGCCAGATTGAATAGGTCATTGTCTTGTTGCATCATAAGATAGGAACATCCTGGTTCCTGGTGCTTAGATTTTGTGCTCATAGCTGTGGCCCTAATTTTTAACCTTTTTATTTATTTAATTTTTAAGATCATATATTAATAATATAAGGCATTTTATAAACCTAAAATATCCCATAGTCTTATTTTAAAGTTCCATAAATCCAATCATTTTTATATAAATTTTCTGTAAAACTCCAAAATTTTCTCTTAAAAATGTTTAAAATCTCTTAACTGTGTGCTCCTGCAATATAAAAAAAAGTA